TATAGATTACTAAGACGTAAGGGGTCATAAATTAAGTAAAAATCGTTCTAAGGGTAATAGCCACAATGCAAATTGAGGCGCAAAGAGGGACCCAACCCCAAGTGAATGGGGACCACGCACAGTGGGAAAAAATGTTCTAGGGTCGACAATTCCAGTAGGTTAAACAAATTTCCACATAGTTAGAGGGCACTAATTACGGCGGGGTACGGCCGGCAACACTTCGGTTCTGAAGATAAGACTCAATATCGCACAGGGGGGCAAACAATTCTAAAGCGGCTATCAGGAACCGAAATCCGACTCGGACAACGGCGAACAGGAAGTACACCATCAAGGAAAGGCGCTAGCAGCATACTAATCCACCCACCTCCATTCAGGAATACCAAATGAATGGGGCTATTACTAAAGCCCTGGTTGAGGAGGATTCTGGATTGTACTTAGTTTTGGGTCAGTTCAATGTCCTCGAAAAACCCTTCCTAAACTGGACGTATGGCCCGACCCGGCTGACAAAAATCCGTGGAGCGGCCTTAACCTTTGACACTGTCCTCCACGACCTCCTAGGGTGGATCTACCAGCCGGCGTAAAAACTTCGGATCCAACAAACACAGATAATGCTGTGATTTGGCGGGATACGCAGAAAGGGGGTAAAATAACCCCGGGAGATTAGTGGAGGATAATATTTTTGGGGCCTGCCATACGTTCCCATACTCATACTCAACATTACTTTACTGTATTGGGGGAAAATACAAAACGTGTATTATATTAATTATTATACAAAATATTAAAGATAATTATCTTATAATCTTTACATTAATTTTGTTCAAGCTTTTAAAGTAGAAATCAGTTTAATGCAGGGTTGTGAACCGTAACAAAATTTCGGGCCACGGACCGGTTCGCCAGCGATTCAGTTCCAAAAACGGTCCATGTAACCGTACCGTTTGTGGAACGTTTGTGCAACCTTTTTTGGGTTCGACTGGACCGGGCCGTTGTGGAACATTGACAGTGTGGACCGCCAAAAACGGTCCGGTCCACGGTCCATGAACCAAGTTCCACTTATCATCTAAAGTGTTTTTGCTGCTTCAATCTCTTCTGTTTCTACTTAAATGACGTTTATCTTATCCAGTTTTTGAGCACATTGGTAAAAGTCTTTCGCATTAGTAATTAAAAAGTACCGACTTTTTATTTCCATTCAGACCTAAAATATGAAGGCAGTAGGCCGGCTAGTATTTAATTTTGCACTAGTCATTCTAAATTCATTTCTTAATCGCCCCATTTCTCTAGCATTTTTCCCAACATTTCATAACTAAAGTGTACTCGGTATACCGAGTACAAAGTATACTTTGTACTCATATGGGTACTCGAGTACAACGGTACTGTACTTGTACTTGGTACTCGAGTACTTTTATATAAGAGTACCTACTTGAAATAGAAATAGAAATAGTTTATTGTCATCAAAATTACATGACTAGTCAAATTACATGTGAATAAAAAATTTAGAGTAATACAATAAAATAAAAATAAAATATCACAAAATGGCAACAGAGTGTATATACAATATAAAAACAATAAATACAACACATTTAAAATATTTAAGGTAGTATAAAAAAACACAGTGTATATACAATCTAAAAACAACAAAATACAATACATTTATATTTAAAATATTTAAGGTAGTATAAAAAAACACTTTGTTTACTGTTTTGCTTAAAATCGCAACAAGCACTGTTCTTATAATAGCGTCGAGATATCACACTCCAGGAACTCATCAACAGTGTAAAAGGCACCAGTAGTAAGTATGTGTCTTATGGTTCTAACAAATTTAACTCTTGATAGTATTTTAACCTTTTTAGGGATTTTATTATAAAATTTCACCCCCCAGTAGTCCACGAATTGTTGTGTGGTTTTCTTTAGATGCAAAGGGATTAGCAATTCTTCTCTGTTTCTTGTGGCAAAATTATGACTTTTTCCGTTTGTGTTAAATGTGTTTAAATTGGAATATACATATTTAAGGCTTTCAAAAATATAGACAGAAGTAAATGTAAGTATTTTCTCTTTTTTAAACCATGGTCTACATGTTTCATCGTGGCTCAAGTTGAATAATATTCTTATTGCTCTTTTTTGCAGAATAAAAACTTTATTTGTATTTGATGATCTTCCCCATATAATAATTCCATACATAAGTAAACTGTGAATGTTTGCAAAATAGGCTGCTTTAAGAATGTTGGGAGTTGCAATGGTTTTTAACCTCCTGAGGCAGTATATACTTTTTGAAATTTTGCTGCATTTGCTCTATTTATCAAAGAAGTTTTAGCTATAATATCGCATTTTTTTATAACCTGTTACCTAACAATTTGAAAGCATGCTCAATTTTACTTTTTAAAAACAAATTAAAACAATTAATTTTTGACAACTTTTTTAATTTATGCTAATCATAAAATTCTCTTTATTATATTTCAATATGTTTATACGCAGTCTAACTGCAACAGTTTATGTATGTTATTTTGATTGCACAAATTTATTTGCCTGTAGCTAGAATAAGTACCTATAGTTTATTTGTTAAGCTAGGTTAAGTGGAAGAACAGCAGCCATGTGGCAATTTGCTGAACTTCGCCTATTGTTACATTAATTTAACAATAAAGTTACTTATTATTATTATTATTATTATTATTATATTTCCTACGTGGCAAGACCAGTTTAGACGGCTGTCTATATAGATACCAAGGAACTTTACTGTTTGGTATTCATGTCTTCCAAATGTAAGTATTTCATTTTATCTTTGTTTATTTTAAGTTTGTTTGTAGCAAACCAGCAATCAGCTTTTCCAAATATTTCTTTTGTCTTAAAATCGACTTGTTGTAGAGTTTTTCCATTTATTAAGAATGAGGTATCATCGCAATAAAGACATGTAGAGAGGCTATTCCTAACCTGGAGGTCGTTAACATATATATATAAAGAGTATTGGGCCTAGAATCGAGCCTTGAGGTACACCATACTCTATTTTTAGGTCACCCGACTGAGAATCGTTGTAATACACACACTGCGTCCTTTTATCTAGGTAAATTATATATTGGTCCCCTAAAACCATAATAAAATAGCTTTTCTAGTAATATATTATGTGGAACTGAGTCAAATGCTTTGCTTAGGTCTAGATTCATCATGCTCAGCTTTTCACCATTATCTATTGCCTCAGTAATAAAGTTAATTACTTGAAGCAATGCTGTCGTAGTGCTCCTTCCTGCTCGGTAACCATGTTGGTGATCTGTAAGTAGTTTTCTTTTTTCTAAAAATTTTATGATTCTGTTTTTAAGTATGAGTTCAAATATTTTTGATAGTGAAGGTAAAATAGAGATTGGGCGATAATTTCCACATTCATTCCTATTTCCTTTTCCTTTATAAATTGTATTCAGTACTCGATTACTTTTTCATTGTACTCGGAACAGTCTGATTATAATAATACATAATTATGTCCAATGCATTTTAGAGTATTGTTGTTTAATTTGGTCCCCATTTTATGTTAATTCTTGAGTAAGCATTGAAAAAGTTCAAAACAAGTTTTTGCGATTTTGTGGATTAAAACTAAACATCGAATATAAATATAGCTTAGAATTGGTGAGAAATAAAATAAAACTAAATTAATTAAGTTGTAGAAGAACAGAACTTGTAAATATTTTTCTATTTTAATTGCTAAATAATTTTATTAATAATTAATTAACAATTATTGTCCTGACTTAATAGCGCAGATTAATTTTAATGTCCCGATAAGACGGACGCGAAATATATTATTATTTCACATAAAAAACATAGAACCGAATATGCTAAAGAATGTGCTATGATGCAAAAAACTTGATTTGGATTTTTTGAATTTGAATTGAAAATATTTAAAAAACAATGTAATTAAAAATGATTACCAATTGACAATCTTAATGTAGGTATAACTACTACTTAGTTATTTTAGTGGTATATCCGTTAATAAAGTTTATTATTATTATTTATTAATAATTATTAGTATTAGTATAAGTACTTACGTTTAATATATTGTTTAACAAATAAAACTGCATTAAAGATAAAATGACGTATGCCATTCGGTTGAGAAGTGTCTTTATGTGCTTCGCTAAATTTTAAGCTCAGCACAAAAAGACTCACTTCTCAGCCTTATGACACAAATAACTATTATTGAAAATTAGTTATAGTGACAATTATTATTATTATTATTATTATCACCTAATAAAAAAATCAATTACTTAAACATACATGCTTTAAGCAATACATTAATGGTGCCATTGATTTTAGAGCCCGATATGAAAGTTAATTAATATCTATTATATTCATGATTAAATTTAATATTCTATATTTAATTACTATTCTATGGTTCATGTGTATTTACCTACCTATGTAGGTATCTTAAATCCCATAGGATAGCGTCGATTATACCTATATACCTACCTATATCAACAAGCTGACAATAAAACTACATAATTGGTACTGATAGTAATCAAATTAATTAATAAAATCGTTAACGAACGTTATAATTTACAAAACCGTTGACACGTAAGTTTCAGTAATATTAGATAATTCTGACAATGAACTATTTCAAACCAAACAATAAAACAGGCGTACAACAATACGAAAAAACTTCAATTTCTGCGATAGATCCACTACTAAAATGTTGCAACATTTTAACCATCATGCCTCCTTACGATTTCAAGAATTTTAGAAAAATAGAAAACAGATGTACAACATCCTACAAAGTTTATGCCACAGTTATTATGATACTGTTTTGTTTTTTATTTATATTTTCTGTACATGGGAGGCAGAAATACGTTTTGATTCACCTGAAATTTCCTTTGGTAGTCATAGACCACGTTGCGTATACTTTGATGTCACTGACGAATTTCAGTTGTACAGTATCATCAATTTTCTTCAAATCTCACAAATTTAAGGAATTTCTGGACAAAGCAGCAATCGCAGAAGTAACTTTAGTCCTAAATACCATTACAAATAAAATGTTCCTGAAATCTTTTGTGCCCTACTTCTTAGGAGTAACCTTGGTAATGTGTTTTGACTCCTGGATGTGGATTTCGACCGTAGGTTGGGATTGGTTCCAATATTACATCGCCAGAGACATTAAATACGCACAAATGTGCATCATGATGTACTTAATGTTCACCTTGGGTCGCGTAATACAGAGCAGATTTAACGCTTTGAACAGAATGTTAAAAAAAGTTGTACACAGTATCGTGCAAAATGAAAACGAAACAAATGGTTCGGGTACTTATTTATCCACTAAACCAGATTTGAAAACTTTATCCAAGAGTTATAACGACCTATGTGAATTAGTGGATTTATATAATTTTTTGTTTGGAGTTATAATAGTTTGCGTGGCTTTGTCCACGATAGCTATTTTATTAAATAATGCAGTTCTGGCTATTAATTACTCATTTAATAAAGACGATATGGATGGGATCGGTTTTGGCTTGAATTTGCTAGCACTTTGTTTAGTTTGGGCCATAATATGTTTGGTAAGTAAAAAATACTTTATGTTTTATAATGTGTATGTATGGTTTGTTATAACACCAAGTTTTACCTTTGCAAACATTCATATTCTCATATACACCGTGTCCAGATAACCATTGCTACCATTTTAACTCCGTTATCATTTGTGCTAAAAGTCGGTTAAATTATCAAATTGGTGGCATTTTATTTTGCTTTAAATGGTGAAAACAGAAAAACAATTGAACCTCGATTTCCGAAATATTCACAAAACATTTTTTTTTAAGGGACACCCTGTATATTTTTACATTTTTTAAAAGACAATTTAATTTGGAACAAAAAATTATAATATTATATTATATTATAACTACCCTGAACTTAAAAATACACAAGCACTTTAACTTTCCGATGGTTTTGAAATAATCAAATTACTACTTTATTTTAGAAAGTTCAAGTGCCTATTAATTGTTTAGGATACCTAGTTATGCAATAATAATTTTTTGTTTCAAATTAAATTGTCTTTTAAAGTCACGTTAGAACTCTTGATGAGGAAAGACCTATCGATCGTAACCGAAACCTCGCTCAAAACACAAATTTCACAACCCACAAAATAAACCTCTTACTAAAGTGCAAATGAACTATAGTGCATAGTATGTACTGTTAAATAAAGGCCACCTTATTGCCAAGGAATATAAAAAGTAAGAAGTAAAAAGTGACCTCATACCTGGTGGACGAACCACCTGACTATAGAGCATTTGACGTGAACAACAAACGAGGCTTACCAAGAGTGGAAAGGGCCATCAGTATTGCAAATTCTGCAACAACCGATAAGTACTTTTAACTAACCTTAACTGACCACATGATCTAATACGTAAATTTGCAACATTAACCACGTTCAGGTACCTGCACAACCCTAAGAGCAGTTCTTTTCGCATAAACACAAATCTAGTAAAGATAAATAAAACAATAAAAAACAAAGAGCAACAGCAACATTAGTAACAAAACAATACGAAAAACAATACAACCAAGCCGTCCCAATTCTTATCGCTGGCGGTATGGCCAAAAAGAGCGACCGACACCCGAGAACAGTCCTACCACGAGCGGTACAAACGTAAACACTAGAGCAGTCGGTAATGGTAAATTGATTAAGATAACGCTATAACCATTGATTAAGGTGTACTCCTCACTCAACACAACACAAATAACGAGAGGGCAGAATCAGAGGTAAAAACGCAACTCGACAACTACTTAATAGGCAGAGTGAAAAAAGGAGCCTAATAGACAATATACTAGACCACTAGAACTTGATCATCATAGCGCTACAAGAACCGCACATGACTTTGGGACACGCTAACACAAAAAGGTAGGGCTGGTATCTGAGGGTTGGGAAACAACAAAATGAATAGAAGGGGTCGGAACCCTTACAAGAATGAATGGGGCAATACAAATGACAACTTTCGGACACAGACTCAGTCAATGACAGTCAAACCTACAGCGAACTAACAACTCCCCAACTTCAAACAGTAATCCCAAATGTTTGAAGTAATACTTATTTCCCGGTTTAGGGGGATCCTGCGTCGTACACAGATTTGAGTCAGCATAATTGTCCCCTAAACACCAAAAGGTCTGTCCCCACCTCCATTTGTTTACACTGCAGTACTGGACGCGGTGAACATTCGGACCTAGCAAACTCGGGTGAAGCCGTGCACTTGCTGGTGGCAGGAAAAAGTCGGCCTACTCTCTTAAAATGAATTAGTCAAAAACAACTAATTACAAGTCATATTTGACTAATTGTCATAGCGAAAAAGCAGTCACTAATAATTAGTCAAATTCTACTGAATAAAATAGTCAAATTAGTAGAGCCAGGGATTGAACTCAGGTCTGTCACTTGTCAAGCTGTTGTAATAACCCATTCGGCTATTAGCCGCTCTTATAAAAATCAATTTTATTTGTCAATAAATATTGTTTATAATATTTGAATTTATTTGAATATATTATTTGTGTTGGTGTTTGAGCTAAACTTTTTGCATCTTTATTTGTTTTTATGGGTCATTTAACCATGGAGCTTGGGTATATGCATTTAATTAAAATAATACTTTGTTGTTGGCCGCAAAAGATTAAAGAAATTAGTTACTTTTAGCTCTCAGAAATAGTCAAAGATGGTGACTAATCTTAAATTAGTCAAACTTTAACTTTTACGTAGTAAAAAATATCTAATTAAAAGTGAAAACGACTATTTTATTAGTAAAAAATGCTGGTAATAATTCAAATAGTAGAATTTTAACTAAACTGCGCACCACTCAATGTGTCGCGAACAAAAAGTTCGTCCTTTTTCAAAACGACATAACTTTTTTGTTTCTTGAACGATTTTATTTTGGTCTGTAATGTCTGCTAGCCCCATTCTCTGGCAATTCATGCTATAGATATAAAGCTCACGGTTCTTCAAGTCAATTTTCTACAGGGTGATATGTTAAACGGTGAAAAATTTCAATAATTTCATCCACGCCCCGTTTGAAAAAAGAAATATTTTTTCTCGTTTTTACTTTGAAATAATAAATTATTATGTCTTACCTTGAAACGGTTTTCAAATTTTTCGAATTGGAATCTTAGCAACGAAAATATAATTGTTTTTTTTAAGAGTAGATTTAAGGCTTTTTGGTAGACAATACACTCAGTCTTTTTAAGAACAAAAAGATAAGATGGTGAAATACTGTTCATTGAATAATTCTGAACAAGCGACAAGCAACAAATTTCCATTATTTTCAGAGGGGCCTAAGCAACGACCACTTTTTCATATGACATTTTGGTGAAAATTTGCGAAAACTAAACCTAAACCGATATTTACGTTCGTGACATGTTTTCTTTATAATTTTGACCTCCTGATTGTGATTCAGTTGTCAAATTTAAGTTTAAGATAAAACCAAAATCACCAAGAATCAAAATTCGAAAACAATTCCCTGCTGTTAAATGTCTTAATAAAAACAGATTGCTGGCGTGTTTCTTGCATATTTGTGATTAAAATGCCATTTGGGCCAAATTACTGCAATTTGTTTGAGTGGTTGGGATAATATTACATAACTTACATAACCTAATTGTTCATAAAGTTAAATAAAAATATTTTTGTAATTTTTTTAAAATTTTATGCGAAGTTATAATCATAATCAAAACAGAAAAATGTAACAAACAATAACAATAATAACTTTCAATCTTCTGCGAACCGTTGATTTGGAGATGTTCATTCCCGTAGCTGCAGCAAAGTCTGGCATTGGCATTTTAATCATCGTTTAAACTTTAAATGATTAAAATGCAAATGCCAGACTTTCTGCAGCTACGGGAATTAACATCTTCAAATCAACGGTCAATTTTAAAGAAAGAATGGAAGTAACCTGGGTAAGATAGGGGTAGGTATGTAGGTAGGAAGGTATAACTTATGCAAATCCCTCATAATGCCTTTTGAATGCTTTTCAAGAACTAATTTTCATCATTTGATTCTCGATATGATCATTCAGCGACATGATAATAACGTACTAGTACTAGCTAAAGATGCAAAACACAGTAAAAAAACAGTAACAGCCGGGAATTGTTTTAGAATCTTGATTCTTGGTGATTTTGGTTTTATCTGAAACTTACATTTGACAACTGAATCACAATCAGGAGGTCAAAATTATGAAGAAAACTTGTCACGAACGTATACGTTCACGAACGTATACGTTTATAAATATCGGTTTAGGTTTAGTTTTCGCAAATTTTTACCAAAATGTTATTTTGAAAAAATAATGGAAGTTTGTTGCTTGTCGCTTGTTCAGAATTATTTAAGAAACAATCTTCCACCATCTTATCTTCTTATTCCTAAAAAAACTGAGTGTATTGCCTTCAAAAAACCATTAAAAAATCATATTTTCGTTGCTAAGACTCCAATTCGAAAAATTTGAAACAAGTTTCAAGGTAAGACACAATACTTCATTATTTCAAAGTAAAAACGAAAAAAAAAATATTTTTTTGCAAACGGGGCTTGTTTGAAGTTATTGAAATTTTTCACCGTTTAACATATCACCCTGTAGGAAATTTTCTTGAAGAACCGTGAGCTTCATATCTATAGCGTGAATTGCCAGAGGATGAGGCTAGCAAACATCACAGACCAAAATAAAATCTTTCAAGAAACAAAAAAGTTATGTCGTTTTTAAAAAGAACGAACTTTTTGGTCGCGACACATTGAGTGGTGCGCAGTTTATTTCATTTTTAGAGACTAGGGTAACGAAGGCCTGTGTGGGTTTCGGGAGAGATGCGTCAATGGGGCCAGTTATACGACTCTTAAACTCGTACCCATTAAATTGTTTTGTAAAATATGTTAAAATATACAGGGAGTTTCATTTAAAAAAAAATATTTTTGGGAATATTTTGGAAACCCGATGTTTAATTGTTTTTCTATTTTCACCACTTTAGATAGATGGAAAAATGCCATCAATTTGCTAATTTAACCGACTTTATAGGTCCAATAATAACGAAGTTAGCAATGGTAAGCAGATAACTTAGGACACCCTATATACCGAATATGCCGAAGCCGGCATCCGTTGTATACACTTATCGATGCCGGCGCCAAAATCCGTTTATTGTTGCCGGCATCTAAAATTGCTGCCATCGCCGGCGAGGTAATTAAATGATCTAACTTTACTGTCAGATTTAAGCTCTACCGCCGGTAAATGCTGTTCGGCCCATCCACACTCTTATTTTTTTTATTGGTGTTCGTCTCAAACCTGTTTGCGTGCAAAAATCTGGACAAAAATTTAAAAAATGTTTAAAAATGTAATAAAATTGTTTTAAAGGTGTTTTGCACTAAACCTTATTCATTCTAAAATTCTATTATCTACTGAATGTGAAGTTGCTAGAAATTATCTGCAGAAATTAGCATACGCTGACTCGAGGCAGTGTTATCAAGACTTATACGTAGAAAAGATGAAAAATGTTCCTGAAGTCGTCATGGATTATTTTAAGAAAAATTGGGAGCCAATCAGGAATGAATAAGTTTTATATCTGACTTTTTGGAATTATGTCTTTTTTAAACAAGACTAATTATAGACTTGAATCTGTTAATGCCAAATAAAATCCGTGATATCAAAACTTTTTTCGAACTTGGACGATTTCATAAAAAATTTCTTTATAATAATTAAGTCTTTACCTGTCAATAGAAACATAAAAAATTATAAACAATATCATAAGGTTATAACCAGTGGTGGACTAAAACCGTCGGGAGCCCGAGGCGGCATAATAAAATGGGGTCTGCTTAGACTTATTGGATCCTTTACAACCGCCCCCTCAAGACCCTAAATAAAATCATGAATAAGAAAATTATTTATATATAAATATATATATAATTATACAAAAATTTTAAACAGTAAACAGACTATGTTCTAAAGATTGCTGAATCCAAATTCGACTTTAGAATTTCTTCATCACAAGAATTTCTAACCCAAAAGTGAAAAAAAAATGTAGGTTCCTGGCGGCCCCTCCACTAGCACTTATATAAGTGCTAGTGGAGTGCTTACAATAATTGTAATGGGTCTGGGAGTAGCATACACCGTGTAGGTATCATTAAACTTTGACTATAACTAGATCCGAGTAAATATGTCATTGCCATGTTCTAATAATATTTATGTAATTATTTTGCATGCGTTTGGAGGCCCCCAATTCCAAATGCCTCTTCCTGAACAAAAAATTTTCAGCGGTATTTTTATTAGGCTGTCCAGCAAACATTAAATTATCGGCCGATGATCGGATAAAATTTATTTAATGTTGGCAATTGATTTAGCCGATATATCGCCCAACTAGCATTTTTATATTTTATAATACTTGCCAAAACGCTTCTGACACAAAAATTATAAAACAAACATTACTTTCAGAAACGATTTCAAAATGTTTATAAGACAGCTAAAAATGTAAAATTGGCACCACTTTATAAAACATTTCAGTTTTGGTTAGTATTTTGTAAAAGCTTTTGGAAACATAATAAAATTATTTTATAAACATTTCGGCAAGTCTTAGGAAAACTTTACAAAAACATTATAAAACAGTTCTGTTAAAGCTTTTTATACTGCGCTTATTAATAATATATTATTTGAAAACTTTATTTGTGCTACATAGATAGAAATCCTTAAGTATTTGCCTATATAATATATGTGGGTAAAAGGCATAAGGGGATAAGTCAAAAAAGCAATTTTTCAGTAGAGCCTTAAACGTATTCGCATTAATTCAGGAAACATTTTTATGGTTAGCGGGTATACCCTTTTGTTACCACATGTCATATGCTAACAAAAGCGTATACCCGCTAACCATAAATATATTTCCTGAATTAATGCGATCACGTTAAAGGCTCTATTAAAAAATTCCTTTTTTTGACTTATCCCCTTATGCCTTTTACCCACGCACACTGGTCCGAATCGACTTATTCTCTGGCCAAAACTCGAAAAGTGAATGTAATAATGTGAAAATTTGTATTTTAGGGTTATTGGGGTCGCTGATTACGAAATTGATATCAAAATTATTAAATTCAAAATGGCGCACCAAAAATGGCGGACTTTTTAAAAAAATAATTAGTTAATTGTCCTGAAAATGTTAATTTTTAGGTTTTTGGGGTCGCTTATCACGAATTTATTATCAAAATTATTAAATTTAAAATGGCGGGCCAAAAATGGCGGATTTTTTTAAAATAATTAATTAATCGTCCTGAAAATGTTAATTTTATTATTATTATTAGGTTAGATTTTTGTACCTTCACATACAAATATACTTTTAATAACTGAGAGTTAAATTAATTCTTTTAAATCAATATTTATTTTAATTTAAACTTTTCAAATGTTTAAGAAAAGTAAATTGAATTTATATTTTAAAAAATCAACTTTTATTTAAATTTAAACGAGTAAATGCAATTCAGAAATAAAAGTGTAAAGTTCTTTGTTTTTAATATATAATTTAATAAATTTGCTTTTTCCTTTTAAATGAAGTGAATTATTATTTTGGTTTTTTAAATTAAATAACATTATTTTTAAATGTAATAAAAAAATTAATTAATTATTATTTCTTGAATTAAAACATCTTTTTGATGAAAGTAAAAATATTTTTATATGTAGAGCAAAAATTAATAAACCATTTGCATAAATAATTTTTTCTGTATATTTGTTATCCTATTATAAAATCTTAAAAAATATATTTACTAAGCATCACTGCGTTTAACCGCGACTACTGTCTCAAATCCGGGCACGAACGTGTATATTATTGTTTTATTAATTTTCGCTGCAGCCAATTTTTTAAGAACCTTATAATAGACACTTCAATGAACGTTTCCCCGTAAAAAACGTCTTCCGCAAATGCCCACATTTTAACTTATTCCAAGTAAAAAAAACGAAAAAATCGAAAATAATTTAAAATCGGGCCATTATGTTAGTATAAATTTTAACAACAAATATTTTTTTTTTTCAAAAATGTAATTTTATAAAATTATTGTACATACTTTCAGAAACATTTTCCATTTTGAACTGTTAAAATCGAACAAGTCTTTAACGAAATAATAGCACTTTTGTTGCACAATCAAAATCAACACAATAACTGTTTCCAAGCAATTGCAAAAAAGGGTTAAATAAAACTGCCCTAGGGATCAGGTAGGGCGATTTTATACCTAAACTCTTTGGTTTTTAAATACTTCAAACATTTGTCTACCTGTATGAATTAAAATAATGTCATAATTAATAACTTCTTTTTGGGGTTTTGGCCAAGGTCAAGCACGATTCGGACCAGTGTGCCACGTAACGTTTCTAACTGTTCGTAGTGTGAATTAAAACACGCACTGGTTAATTAACGAACTAAACTATTTATTTAATAATTTAACTACACTTAAAACACTATAAAACTAACTAAACACTTAACTACTAATTATTTATATCACTACTAGTTTATTTATTTGCACTTATATTTATTTATTTCTTCGCGAGTACCAAAGCTCAACTGACTGCTCCATGCAGCGCCGTTCCTTATATATTACAGCGCCTACGTCCTCTAGAACATTCCAGCGAGCTCCACACTATCGATTATTCGAGCCTGAGTCACCGGCGATGACAATCGAAAAAAAAAGTTATAAAAATTAAATACTCGGTAAAAAAAATTGGTACCAAATTATAAACAAATTTTTGTTTGTAATGTTCTCAATCGGTAATTATTTTTTTTAACATGGTGACACATAATTATTACAGAATTAAAAAAAAAAATCTCTGGGATCGGACACAAGTAAATATTTGGGTGCCGCCACAATGGAACAAGTAAAGTGAAAATATTTATCTTTGAACACTAAAAATCTAAAATCTAAGCAGGCCCGGGTAAAGGGGGGGACCAATGGGTGCAATTGCCCTCCACCCTAACTCACCTATTTAGTTTTTTGTTTAAGACAGACAAACACAGCATTATGCAAAAATCTAAGAGTCTTAGCAGGCGCGGATACAGGGGGGACCAATGGGTGCAATTACCCCCCCTAACTCACCTATTGGTTTTAATTTTTATTTTTTATAATTATAAGATGGATAACAAACTAAAATTTTACAAAATTTTTGTTTAGAACGCATTTTCTTGATGATACTCGTATGTAAAATCACACAAAAATCTACCCACTCTTACCAATGTTTATTTTACTAAAAATTTTACCAAAATTATGTTAAAATTTATTTTTGACCCTTTTATGATCTTATGAAACTCAAACTAATATAAACCAGGCCCGTGCACACGGGGGGGGTTTTGGGTGTTCAGGAGTTTTTAAATTAGAATTTTTACTTAAGATACTGTATACTGAAAAATAACCTAAAAATACATATTTTTTTATAAAAATGTTTAATATAGGGAATTTTTAAAATGAATAGACTTATGTGACAAAAAACAAATACTCGTTACATTTTTAAAATAAATTTATTATTTAGTAAAAAAAATTAAATAAAAAACCAATATAAATTACGAAGTTTTATGTGATATTATAATGGGTAAAATTTTCATAAATCGATCTTTAGGTGTTGTATTTTTATATTTTTTTTGGGCCAGTCTAGATGTCCATTCGGCCAATCTGACATAGCGGCCCACCGGGAACTGTCCCGGCGTCCCGCTGGAGCCCATCCGCCCCTGCAGTGTTGGCGGATGAATTTCATAAAAGTTCCTGACCAAAAATTACATAATACTAAAAAAACTAGTTGGGTCAGCTGTGCTCTAATTGGTCAGCTGAGAAAATCGATATTGCGTCTAGAAAACATGTTCATGTAATGGTGTTGTTTTGGACTGTCGTCATCTTGATTTTTTATTTATTTATTTATTTATTTATTTATTTATTTATTTATTTATTTATTAAAGAAAGACTCTACAGGAAAATTTTCCCAATTACAGAGCTTTTTCTAAAATTAACTTAAAACTAATTAACTTAAGACTAATTTACATAATATGTATTATAACTTCTATTCCCACTTAAATCTATTTACCAAATAAAAAAAAACAATACAATACAATACGTATTCCTAATACAAAACGAAAATCTCCAAAAAAAATATCCACAATGTTACCTAAAACTGTCTTAAAATTTAATTAATAAACTTTGATTCCTACCCAAACCAAAATAAGAAAAACTATAAGTCCAAAAAATATCTTTTCAAAGTATTCTTAAAAACAGAAAAATTAACACCAAAAATGTCAACAATGTGTTGTAAATTATTATAAATAATACACATATAATTTATGGGAGAGTATTTAGTATAATTTGTAGAACATTGTTTTTCAAAAAATGTTTTGACTAACCTGGTCTTCAAAATTGGTACGTAAAAATTTATTCTATTTAAAGAAAAAATGTCATCAACCAAATAATGTATTACCTTGTACAAATAGCATAATTTGACAAAAGATCTTCTATTTTCTAGCGTTAAAATGTTAGATATCTTGATAAAATTTAAATAATTGTATTCAATGGGAATTTTAAGATAGTAATTTGTAAGTTTATAAAAGTAACT